AGGGGCAAGAGAGTGAAAGCAAAGGGTCAGTCTGAGTATCTTGTCCCAGAGGCCTGTCACGGGCATTCCATTCCTACTGCTACATTTGCAAAGTTAAGCTTCAAAACATGACGATAACTGACTGCAAACATTAAATGACTCAAGAGTCTTGCATCTGTGACATTTGTTCACAGGGATGGAAGTAACTGGACAATCTTGGCAGTCCAGAGGGGGGTGCCTCAAAGGGAGAGACGCCAATCCCCATCGTTAGGAACTTCGGCACATCCCCACATGCTAGCTAGTCAACTGGACTGAAAGGAGGCAGCTAAGCTCCAGAGCCACTCCTGTCTCATGCAGGTATCAGTGACCTGTGCTGAGGTACAAAGGCAGTGAACCCACCTTGCTCCTTCCCTAGGATGCATCCCTCCCACACCCTGCCTGCTGGGGAGGAGGCATGAGCTCTATCCAAGGAAACCCATTATGACCCCACTGAGCAGGGAAACCTCATCACTACACGGAACCTTCTGACCACATATCTGATGTGCTCGAGTAGAGCATCCAATAGCACACTTCAGAGTTAACTGTGCCACAGTCACAGTCTGACACATCATCATCATCATCATCTTAGGTCCTACTCTCTAGCTTACAATGACTTAAAAGTCACCATAATTAAAAAAAAATGGATAAATGAAAACCATGCTCATTAATAATTCTTCAAAACCACCTTGTTTCTTTAAGAAGTCAGTGGTGGGTTTTTGTTTTGTTTTTTCAGTTGTTTTACTGGTCTTGAAATGACAAGATAAAACCAAATACAATACGTTAGCTTTGGCTAGACTTTGGTATTCAAACTTATAAAAAGAATCTTCTGAAATATGGTACATGAATTACATCTCAAACCCCTATTTTTTAAAGAGAATCTTTGGTGTACACTTAGCTCCAGCCTTCAGTTATCAATGAACAATTTAAATGGGGGAAAAGCTAGGCAGACAAAACAAAGAAGGGTTAATAACGTACAAACAGACCCACTGAGAGCGCCAGGCATCCTTCACACTACTATTAGGTAAATTTTCTTCCTATTTACAAGTTCTCATAATGAACTGTGTGAAATGGTCGTCTATAATTTGCATTTGATGTACAATGCTTAAATTTTATAAAATCCACTTGCTTTCTAGAAAACCTTAATTTCTTTCAGAAACAACTACAAAGCTAATCCTAACAGGTAAATTTACAAAGAACTTTCTACCGGAGTTCTATTATCTTCTAGATCAAAAGCAGGGGACGAGAGAGCTAGGAAAAATACAGGCTGCAGCTGCCTCCATACCTCTTTCCAGGTCGTCTCTGGGTAACAAGGATTCATGTCTCAACTCTTCATCAGAGTGAGAGGAGTCTGGGAAGTTCTCTGTTCTGGTTCCCTCAGGTCTGTGCGGGCAGCAGGCACCAAGAGCTGCAGCAGGGACTCAGAGCCACAGGCGGCACTTGAACCCAGACTCCACTGAGCACTTTCAAGGCTAGCTGGATAACTGACTTGATGGGTTCTGACCCGTCTTTCAACTCTAAGATGGAATCTCACTTCATCTAAAAGCAGCAGCCGTGAGAAAGGACCTCGCACACGACCCGACCCAGAGCAGACTCTCCAGACCCAACACTCTCACTGAGGTCTTGTGTCCACTCGTACCCACCAGACTTCCCAACTCAGTACATGTGAAATCTTCTATGAGATCTGGGCACGTTCATAAGTGAGACAGTGACTTAAACAGTACAGCACTCTCCACTTAACCCCACTTCCTGCTGGGTGGTGGCACACACCTCTAATCCCAGCACTTCCAAGGCAGAGGCAGATGGATCCACGTGACTTGAGGTCAGTCTGGCCTACAGAGCTAGTTCCAGGACAGCCAGGGCTACAAAGAAACTCTGCCTCAAAAAACCAAAAGGCCACTTTCTTTTTAAGAAAGCCTCTCAGCAGTAGTTAGATAACAGTGAGCCATGGTGAACAAACTTGTAGTTGCTTGAAACTCTCTTCTTCTGTAAGAGTATGTTAGACTCAACATGTAAAATGAGTAAGAATGGCCTAGCTATAACATGTTGCTTAGCACCTGTATGAATTCTTAGCAGTCTTATAATAACTGTTTCCTAAAATGACCTCTGGAACAGCTGAACTATTTCTCCTGAGAAAGTTTCTAAGATAGGACTTCTAGCTACTTTACTGATAACAATGTATGGCTGTACAATAAACTAAGAAATAACCCATGTGCATGAATGCTGACATGTCCACATAACCCAGCAGTTTATACCAAGGACATTTCTTCACAGAAATAGAAGGTCTCACTAAAATCTGTGACCACAAATGACTCTGAAGGCCAAAGCATCACAGTACCTGACTCAAACACATTCCAGAGTAACAGTTATCAAACATAAAAGACATAAGAGCAGAAATCAGTTCTACGTACAGCCAACCATTTTGTTGTTTTGAGAAAGGGTCTTGCTGCAATGATGTGGAAATAATCAGCATGGTAAAGAAACCGCCTAAGGGGGTAATGGGGGGCCAGGCAAGGGCCTCTACTCGACAGGCACCTCAGATAAGAGTAATAACTCTGTGTATAGCCACACCATTCATTTGAAGACCTCTAACAGAATAAAGACATGGACCAAAACAAACAACAAAACTGAACTCATTAAGACAATGTAAAGCCAAAATAAATACATAGTTATAATTAGTTGTTCAAAAAGAGAATGTGTATCATACCTGTAAAATAAAATCAGTACTCTCAGAAACATAAAACGGGTCCTCAAACTTGAAAGCATCACACCATGTTAATTTTTCCAATTAAGCATAAGTTCCCAGTGTAAAAAGAGCCTAAGACTTGAGATAAGCATAGACCCCGCCCCCCCATATGCTGTCCATGTCACCAGACCTACTTCAGATAAGAGACCTCAAAAGACAAGCCTGAGTAAGAGCCATCTTCTACCTCTTATGTGCACCATGTGGGTCCTCTGCTACTAGAGACAAACTTCCTCACTATGATTATGCTGGTTACAGCAACGGGTCATCCCAACAGCACCCTTGTTTCAGAACCAGCGTGGCTCTTGTGGTACAGCCGTCCTAATGGGATGGAGTCTGCTCAGTCAGCTACAACACTCTCCATCAATCTTATTCTTGAACATACACTTAGAGAAAATGAGGTCGGACCGGGATTGTACTTTAAGGCAGGATGTATGGATACATAAGCCAAGGTTTGACCCCTAGATAAAGAAGAGAAAGGAAGACAAGAAGACAAGGATGGAGGAAGGGAAACAGGAAATGACCTAGAATCAGTATGCCAAAAACTATTATCTCTCCACATGTATTGTAATATTTCAGTACCAAGATATAGAATAAATCTACATACCCATAACAGGCAATGGAAATGAAAATGTGATATACTAATCTATGACTAATATTACAATGGAGTATTACTCAAACGCAACACAGGATGAACCCTGACATTTATGACAAGGTGGGTGCACCTAGAGGACACTGTGTTCCACGACATAAGTCAGCGCAGAAGACACAGCACACAATCTCTTGAGGAATTTTAATGTTCTCTCACAGAAGTTGAGAGTAAGGAGTAATTATAGAAGACTTAGGAGAGTGGGGACAACTGGCTGCAGGGACAGCTGGCTAACTGCCACAGTGACAGGAGGAGGATGTAGTTCTGGTGTTAGCTGCCGAGAACCGTGCTGTGTAAGTCAACAGATGCCTGGGAGCACTTCAGGTGTACTCATCATAAAAAAAGATGTTTAAGGCAGTGGATATGACCTCAGTGCCAATTTATATATGAACCAAAACCCCACATCACACAGTAGCTCCTAATAACCCATATCACACTGCAGCTCCTAATAACCCACATCTCACTGCAGCTCCTAATAACCCACATCACACTGCAGCTAAGAACCCATATCACACTGCAGCTAAGAATCCACATCTCACTGCAGCTAAGAACCCACATCACACTGCAGCTAAGAA